TATTTTGATTCAATTTCCTTGTGATTGCAGTGAACCCTTGTGGGGTATCGAGGCACGAAACGCTGCGATCGCTAACCAGTATTTCACGTGTGCCGTAAACCGCGTCGGCACTGAGCAATTCCCACACGAGTTCACGTCAGGAGACGGAAAGCCTGCTCACCGTGACTTCGGCAATTTTTACGGTTCCAGTTATGTGTCAGCACCTGATGGCTCTCGTACCCCGGTAACTTGATGCGTCATTTTATTTCGTACTTCGAACTAAGAATGTGAAATGTACATCATAAAGCAGGAGGATTGTATGTAAGGATTCAACAGTAAAGAATCGTATTGTAGATGCTCCAAAATTTCTGGGAGTGTGTACTCACCAGACCCGGCAGTGCTGTATGTCTTTTCTTGATTTTGGAATGCTCTTCTATTACATTTTGAAATCACTGGATTATGTGTGTACCCATTCGTCAGCCTTCTTACGAATAATCGTGTGTTCACATTGAGATCAATTAGCATTTATCACATGTGTTCTCTCATCACCCCAGGGACTGTCGAGGACGAAGGATGGGTTGTTGGTTGCTGAATTAGACCTGAATCTCATCCGACAGTCGCGGGATCATTGGGGAATCATTGTAGGTTCTTATTTGATGTCGCATTCTCAAGACGTGTTTAACTCTTGATTAAATATCTCATTATTTTCATTGGAAGATGACCAGACGACTGCCGCTGTATGCCGAATCTTTTGCAAGAGCATGCAGGCCGGACTTCAAGCCGCACATCATCATGTGAAATATATCTTAAATTACATCAGCATATCACTAGCATATCAATTTGGAGTCGACAAATCGCTGTATTTTACGGCTGCGTGATCGAAATAAAAACAAAAAAAGTTCTGCCGAAATCGTTTGACCGAAAGGTGTAGTAAAGGATGTTCCAGTTCACGCGAACCTTCGGATCTTCAAATGCGTTAATTTTGTGCAATATTTCGTGATGAGATAAGCGTTGAACCTTTTATTTTCAAGTCATGAGATGGCATACGTTGGGAATTCACGCATTCTTTGTATTACTTCGAACCCTAATAGCAGGATTATATGTTTTTTCGGTGCCTAGTTCAGTTACCGACGCGCTTAAGTCATTTGGGCTTGCTTCGTGATACGTAGTTCATGCATTCGGTGGTCCAGTTGCAAATTGATTGCCTCGGTTTATTGCTCGTTTCCGTAGCTGGTGTCACACGTACGTGTGTCAGACCAGCGCCCACCGCTGTGGTAGTGTACGCAGAAAAAGTGAAAAACAAATCGGTACGTGTCCAGAAAAAAATCAGCTATTGATGATCAAAAATTGCTGAAAATATCTTTCATTTTCCTTTTTATTAATGAAAAAAAGTCTTGTCCAGAAAAACTTTCAGGGTTACTAACCAAACTGAATTAGACTCCTGTCTGCCGCGTAGAAACTGTAGTATTCTCCGCAAAAAGCATCTTCTGCTTAGTCCTGGAAAGTTGGAACAAGTGTTCGCACTTCGCTGTTTTTGGCATGGGTTGTTTTGAGAGGCGGTCAAATGGCCAGTTACAATGATAGCTACGGTTTTAGCACAACCCTCTGTTGTTTTGTTTTGCCACGTGAGAAAACGTCGAATATTTTATTGTCGTGTGAAGTGTTTTAGTGCAGTGCTGTATTTTGTGCGGTGCATGTTTCAAATGGAA